TTGTGCTATAACGTATGACTTTTCATACATGTTTATCATAAAATCCATTTTCCTTCTAAATTATACGTAGTTTGTCATTTTGGTTTACTTGACATTGTTTGGGGTCCACTACATACCGAAGCCTTGTAAACCTGACCCTTTGCAGTCAGACTAACGTCGCGACGGAGTCAAAGGTGGCCCAGATTGGCGTATGCCACTCTGGCTTTCGATATGCGGTTGGAAATTTCACCACTTACACAACTATCCAGATACACGAACTTCTCGACTACTTCCAATGGTGGCTCACCATCAAGGGTGGATTTCGGGTCTTTGTTTATTTCCACATATTTGAAGTATGTTATGTCAGTGTTAAAAGTATTTCACTTCAACTGTAGGCTGTTTGCAGCTAATGAAGGGCTATGAACTCATTTTATCCTGTGAATATCTTTCTTCTTGTTTTATTCAAATCATAATGCATTACACAAAAACTAAAATAAGTTGAAGTTAAACTTTTATTTACCTTAATGGCTGAGGTGAGGTTATGACAGGTTGCACAAATTTATTCTCAATACAAAGATTCGGTCAGAAGAGGTGTATGGCAACAGCTTCTGAGGTTTGTAGCAAGAGAATAAGTGGACTACACTGGGAGCTGGATGTTATACGGTAAATAACTGGAAAACCCTAGCTCGTACTCACTTTATGACCAGTAGTATCCATCAAATATACAAGCATTGAACTTTTCATTTTCTTTTACTCAGTCATGCCAGATGGTGTTCAGATATTCTACAGTGAACTTGACCAATTGTACACCCTATATAATCAGCTCCACATCAGTTATTAAACTGATAGGTGCACATAGTATAGACAGAATCAGGAAGTCTATCTTCACATCCTGCACTAATAACTGGACATAAGTTTGTAGCATTCGAATCTCTCTGAAAAGCCTTTCTTAAACGTCACGTTATAATCTTCATAATGATTTTTATGCTATGTACTTTAGTAGCCTAGGTTATTACAGCCATGACTTAATTCATACAGAACTAGACGAAGCTAATCAAATAATGAGTAATAAATGAAATTTTCCAATAAGTATTCGATACACAAAAGTTTTGGAAATACTAGACAAAATACGAGAAATAAGAATCATGATACTGAGAGAATTTGTTCCGGGTATTCGTTGCACAACGAATGAGTGTTTTGACTCAGTAGCCTAGCAGATAACGCTTTAGCGTCTAGTGATAGGTTTAAGTCTCTGATTGGAACTGCTAGCCACCTCCAAACAAAAATTCCACTTAGTCTAATTGTTTTTATATGATAACGTCGTTGATTTGACTGAATCGGTCGGTCTCTATTGGCATATGGGCTCCTATGCAGATGCCTCGATATTGCCAGTGTTCTAATTATGTTAACGATGGATCGTGGCTAGCAGTGGAATCCAGGATGCTCATTTCATCCCATTTGGGACTGGCCAGCTGGATATACCTGCTTCCCAATGAGTGTTGTTCCCACCGGGATTCGGACTCGGGAGCGATCGCTTCAAACACCAGAGCATTGTCCACTGCACCACCGAGCCACGATTGGCACAGGAGCTTATATGCCAATAGAGACCGATCAATTCGGTCCAATCAACAACGGTATTATATAAAAACAATTATACTAAAAACTATACCCGTCGCACAAGAAGTGGCTATCGTGGCTCGGTGGTGTAGTGGATAACGCGCTGACGCTTGCAGCGATCGCCCCCGAGTCCGAATCCCGGTGGGAACCACATCACTCACTGGGAAGCAGGCACATCCAGCTGACGAGTCCCAAATGGGATGAAATGCACACCCTGGATTCCACTGCTAGCCACGATCCATCGTTAGCAAAAATACTTGTTTTTATTGAATTATAAATCATTTCTGGAGAAAATGTTGTTTGGTAAATCCTTTACGGGTGTTATTTTCTATACTATATGCTTGTTTTATAATCACAAGCTTCCACAGTCAGGTCAATTGCACTTTTTCTTCACATTAAATTATATTCGTATGTACCTATTTCACCTTATGACAAATGTACTGCTGTAGTCATTGGAATTGTTTATCACTGATACTCATGTAGTAGGCTGATATGCATTGTTTTAGAAAGAGACTTGATGACAATATCCAAGTTGGATTTAGGTTAAAAAGTGTTCCTGTGCTTCAAAATCAATTTTCTTGCTGTTAATCACAACTTTTATCTATTCTTTTATGCATAATTTCACACCAATGAAAAGACTTAGAGATGCTGATCAGTCAGTGTAGAGTAAGTCATTTTACACTGTCTTATCCTTGGTATTGGTGTGAATCTCATCGACTAAATATGCAATGTGTTGAATAAGTTAGGTACCCGAATATTGGTACTTACTGGATTTGATGAGAATATTAGGACGTAATTGACAGGACATTGTTCATCTGATCGTTATGATTGTTGGGCTATCTGCAATTTTGGGGAGAATTATAACTGTTTTGCTAGTTATACCGTGTGTGAGAGCAGTGAAGTGTTTCCTGAGGATCATCAGTATTCCGAATTGACCCTAACTTCCCTTCTTCTAAAAGTATAGTTTAGGAAGGGTCAACCCTGAAAATCGTATACTCCTTCTTGTCCTACATGCTTCCGGTGGTGTGTGTATGAATTTTACCGCAATTACAGATATAAAGCAACAAAGTCTACGTCGAGAACCGCCAAAATATTTTGTATTACCAGCCTCAAGTAGATTTTCCATGACCTTTGTACTCAGGCAACTAGGTAAGTTACACTATCCGCATTAATCCACTTTCTTTCTCATTTATTTCAAAAAGTAAACTTCTGCTGTGTGGATATTCAAAATAAGTCAACTATCCTCATATCTTTCAGCACTCAATATCTTCAACTACATAGCTTTCTAAAGTTCCTTCACATTTCTCTGTTAATATTTTTACATCATAATCAACTCGTTAATATAAGTGAAAAACTTGGGCACTGTGGTAGAATGTAGTTCCATATTAGATTTGTTTATTTGATATAAAGCGCACAGTGATACAGTATTATTTAATTGATAATTAAATAATACTGTATCACTGTGCGCTTTATATCAAATAAACAAATCTAATATGGAATAATCAACTCGTGTTAGTCCTGCAGCTCATAAGGATTCTCGTTGATGAAATAGCATCTCTCATCTTCAGAAACTGCATCTCAAAATATATATCACAGCTTTCAATGTTTGTTCCATTTGTCCTACCAGACAATGCTCACTAACCGAAACCCTAGCACGTTGTGCTATGGACTTATGCTGTTTCTGAGACATGCATACAAGGAATAAGTGTGGTTATTCATTTGGTTAAACCTGGTTAACGTACTGAGACGGAAAAACTTATCCTTCGGGTATTTCAAGGGTCTTCTGTTTGTTCCCATCGTCCTGCAGGTGTAATCTTGAGTTCTAGGGTAGAAAATGCAATGCTTGACCGAATCCTCTTTCATAGTCATTTGTGTGACTGAATGTCATAGTAAAGAATAAGGAGGACAGCGATATATCGTTGTCCTTATGTCTCTTCATACGCACCCGCTGATTAAATTTCAGGTTAACTTGAAAGATAGATTATGCTAAAAACTTCCTAGCTTCCGAACAAAGTCAAGCGTTTGGATTTGATCGTCACAATGGACATTTCAATGCATAAGTATGCAGGCTAAGCTAGGTAGGAAGGCATTTAGGTGATACTGCTAGGATCTCAAACAGACGAACGGATAATTACGATTGTTTGCTGCAACTGAGATTAGACGACCATCTGTTTTCAGTAAGCTTGAATGTCAGATATACTGTCGGTCACCGATGTCAACTTAAGGATAGACACAAACAGACTATATTCATATCATTTATTGCGACGGAGTGTTTATAGATAGCCACTCTTTCTAGACCACATACTTGTATAGTGACTAAGCGCTGGTTCAAGAACATATGTCTGCTCTAAAAACAACATAAAAACACTATAACTCAAAAACTGTTCCCAGCTCATGTCGAAGATGAGGACGATAGTACTGCTCTTAAAGAGGAAGATTGCTAGACGGTCATCCGGACATGACAGTGTTACTTATCCTAAAAAAGGCACACACCATCTTCAGTCTGCGTGAAAGGCTGTAACTACCCTACCTAGAAAAAGGTAAGCAAGGGTCTGTGGATAGCAGCTTTATTGAAATTAGGGATTACATGTAAAGGCGATTCCGCAGACTCCGAGAACAATTAGGTAATAAAACAACAGATTAGATATAAAATGACAAACAGTCTACGGAGTGACTGTAATGTCCTAATGTACAGTTGTAAAACAATGCCACAAAGGTGGAAGACACAAGAAGCCTCCAGGTGTTCAACAACCATTCTCTTCGTGGCACTTGGTGCATGTAGTGGGATCACTATATGCAGTCTCAGATAAATGAAGTGAGTCAGTTAATGAGGTTGTAAGTAATCACTGAATGAGGCGACTGCGACATGTGCAGAGAAGAGAAAACGTTTACACTGGGATCTACCTGACAGTCAAAACTAAAGTTTACAGACTTCAAGTGATACGACTTATAATTTATCAGATTGGTGTAGATGCATTCACTCCTTGTTTTTATCTTAACCACTACATCATATCTCGTTACTTATTTAACCCCTTCTTGCTGATTAGTAGCTTTCTACAACTTTTTTTGATGAATCTATTTGTTTCTTCATTTTACTTCCTTGGATTTTGAGGTGTAGCAACATCGATCGTTAATGCTAGGTCTCGATAGTGTTAGTAACTGACTGATAGATTCTAATTTTTAACACCATAGATTATTAATGGCATGATCGACTTTATATAGAGTCGGATCAAACATGCTAGTTGGTTGGTAATCACGGAAATTCCCCGAAAAGTATTTTATAAACAAACGTTTTCAAGATATTAAATAAAGTAGGAATAAACTTACAATTTTCTTACATGAATAATTTATTACAGATATTAGTAACTGCAAACAAAAACAGGAATTTTAAATAGTCACCTGATCACAACATAAACTTATTAAGTAACTCACAAAGATCCCGAGCAATACATTATACTGGTTATTTTTTTTATGAAAAAAAAAGATTGTATTAAATAACAACTCTTGAAGGAATGGGTGAACTATCAAAAAAGAAACCAGCAGATATAATTTGTTCATCAGGATTATTGGAAACAGAAGATTTCGGGTTTTTTGTTGTACCCCATACCCATAGCCAGTATAATGCGCCAATTATGAAAAACACAGCACCGAATTCAATTTTTATAGCTAAGAGCCATAATAGTAATGTAATGCTCAATTGTATATACCATAAATTGAAAATAGCGATAATTCTTGATGGCTGTCATTAAACGAAATAAGAATATAAATTTTTGAGGGGGTTGTGGAGATTTGGAAATATTTCAAGTTGTTATTCATCGTAGACTGACATCAGTTGGAGGAACAAAAAAACCTGGGAGCACTGGACAGCTGTTTCGTCCCAGTATGCGACTCCTCAGCAGTGCGCACCCACGACCCAACCGGCAGGGATCGAACCCGCGACCTTCAGGTTCCGCGGCCAGCGCGTTACCATCGAGCCACTGGGTCACAGTCCAATGCTCCATATTTCCAACTTCTGTTAGCTCACGATATAGCGCGAACCGCCACCCAATGTCATCGTTGAGTATCTGTCCAATGGCAAGTCGTGACCGGTGGAGTCAAAGCCTGATGGCCGTGAGGACAGATACTCAACGATGACATTGGGTGGCGGTTCGCGCTATATCGTGAGCTAACAGAAGTTGGAAATATGGAGCATTGGATTGTGACCCAGTGGCTCAATGGTAACGCGCTGGCCGCGGAACCTGAAGGTCGCGGGTTCGATCTCTGCTGGTGGGGTCGTGGGTGCGCACTGCTGAGGAGTCCCATACTGGGACGAAACAGCTGTCCAGTGCTCCCAGGTTTCTTTTGTTCCTCCAACTGATGTCAGTCTTCGATGAATAACAACTTGAAGAATATAATTGTTTCAGTGCAAATTAGTGATATTTTTGTTCTATTATATAGGCATGTTAACCAAATAAGCAACAATTACTGAATGAAAAAAAAAGAAGGCGTCAATATGCTAATAAATCTTATTCATAGAATAGGGACACAATAGGTTTGAATCTAATGTTATTGAATGTACCTTATCTTTATTCTTAAGTCAAAAATCAAATACCGTACCTCAAATAAATAAACATAAAAACCTGGCGCATAAGTGCGCCAGTTCAAGTTACCAAACTTCTTCACAGCAACATGCTAAGAAGTGGATAGAAAAACAATGGCAAGAAAGCAGAGATAGGTGTATGAAAAGGAAAAAGAGAGAGAAAATAGAAGCAAGTTAATAAAAATATCAAGAAACTTAGAACATTTGTGCCACTATGATCGATTTTAAGTCATGTCTGCAAGGATTCCCAACTACTGATTCCTATCATCTTGAGGAACCAAATCAAACAGTATATATCTCCCTACAGGGCTAAGATCAACGGTTAGATAATTTATTAACTGGTTCTATGTCTAAGTTTCGCCCCCTTTTAATGCAATCCTACTTTAGTAGATGTCGTGTTGACGAAGCCAGTGGCTCAGCATATACAACTTCATCTTTGATCCACTAAGGTGAGAAAATACACGTGTTGTACTAAGGCATGAGCGAATTCTACGACGGTACTTCAAAAAGAGTGGTTATCTTCCTAAACTAAACGACGGTCTATAGCGATGTCATCTACATGTGTACAACGATGCCCTGATGCTGGCAGACAAGTTACCTCTTTATGTCTGGAGTTAGTTTACGCCAGGAACTACTGATTGCCAGAACAAAACTGCAAGACATAACCACCGATGTGCATTCCTCTGCATGAAATATCGTAGAAAAATTTTATTTATTATTACCATTCGTGACCTCGCCTGGTTAACTAGTTCACTAGTTACTAGCTGGTCCTAAGCCCGGGTAAAGAGGGAAGGTTGGGCATAGGGCCAGCAACCCTACCCCGTAAAACAAATCTAACCGCTAAAGAAAATTCACAGCACAAACGAAATATAAAAAATAATAAACTTATTCCTCACTGGAATCGGAGAGGCGAAGTGACGCCAGTTGGTGAAAGCCTTCGGGAAGCCAATTGACCCGGCCGATGTGTCTTCTCTCCCTCGATGAAAGCGAAAGTAAACATAACGACATGGAATGTCCGCACGATGTTTGAACCCAGCAGGGCAGCCCAGATTGCAAACGAGATGAAGAGGTATCACATTGAAGTGCTTGGAATTTGCGAAACCAGGTGGAATGGAAGTGGACTCTCCAAACTGTCAACTGGAGAAGAGAGTCAATAATCTACTCCGATATTGTCACCCAGACGACAACCACGAGCACACTGAGTTCTCCAGTGGCTATCATGATGTCCTCAACAGCATGGAAGGCTCTCATGCAGTGGGAACCAATCTCCTCCTGCAGGATCATGACAGCAAGGTTCAACTCAAAAGGAAGGAAGGTCACAATCATACAATGCTATGCACCTACAAATAATGCAGAGCAAGAGAAAAAGGAGGAATTCTACAGACAACTTCAATCAACACTGGACAAGACCCTACTTCAGTTGGCGATATCAAAATTCTAATGGGCGACATGAATGCCAAACTGGGAGGGGACAACACAGGAAGAGAACTGACCATGGGTCGAGAAGCGCTCGGTGAGGTGATGAACGAGAATGGAGAATTGTTTGCAGAATTCTGTGCATTCAACGATTTGGTAATTGGAGGCCAGGCAGTGTGTTCAAGCACAAGGATATCCACAAAGCGAGCGACATGGATTTCACCAGATGGACACACTGAAAATCAAATCGACTTTATCTCAATCTCGAGAAAATGGAGACGCAGTCTACTTGATACAAGGTCAAGAAGAGGAGCAGATGTAGGTTCAGACCACTATCTAGTGCAAGGAACCTTCCAAATCAAGTTAAAAGCCTTCAAGGAAGCTGGTGATAGACCGCAGTTCAAGTACAACACTCGGAAACTGAAGGATGAAACTACAAATGACATCCTCACGTAAGTCAGTGATCAAGACAAAATGGGATATATCGAGGAACATCCCTGAAGAAACCTGTGTAGAAGAACACTGGAAGTCTTTGAAAGAGATGTGGAAAGAAACCTGCACAGCCGTATTAGGAAGGAAGAAGAAAGAAGATAAGGAATGGATCTCAATGGATACCTGGAAGCTGATAGAGGAGAGGAGGATGGTGAAGCAGAAGATAAACTAGTGCAAGGATGCTCAACGACAAGAGGAACTGAGCATAATGTATAAAACACTGGACAAAGGAGTGAAGAAGAGTGCACGGAAATACAAAAGACACTTCTACGAAACACTGGCAAGTGAAGCAGAACAGGCTGCAGGTAAGAGAGACCTGATGACATTGTATCAAATAACCAGGTTGCTATCTGGGAAGAGATCAACGCAGACGAAACCAATAAGAGATGATGACGGGAGTTTAATTACGAAAGAAGAAGAACAAAGGAAAAAATGGGCCAACCACTTCAAGAAGCTCTTGAACCGACCACCACCTGCACTTCATCCAGAAATACCACCTACAGCCACTGAACTACAATTGAACATAAATTCTCTAACAAAAGTGGAAGTCCTGAACGCCATAAAGCTACTGAAATGCGGGAAAGCGGCAGGACCAGATGGGATCCCGCCAGAAGCACTGAAAACACACGCAGAGACAACAACGGACATGCTCACACCACACCACTATTGCAGAAGGTGTGGAAGGAAGAGAAGGTACCTGCCTACTGATTGGAAGAAGGGTTACCTTGTCAAAATGCCGAAGAAGGTAGACCTCAGTGTTTGCAAGAACTGGCGCGGATTCACTCTCCTGTCCACCCGGAGCAAGTAAAATATTAAGCCGCATCATCCTGGAGAGGCTAAAGGATGCACTGGATTCAAAACTACGACCGGAACAGACAGGCTGGATTCAGGAAGTACAATTCATGTGCGGATCAAATTGCAACGCTTCGCATCATCATAGAACAGAGTATAGAATGGCAGTCAACTCTCTACCTCAACTTCATCGACTTTGAGAAGGCTTTTGACAGCGTCGACCGAGAGGTAATTTGGAAACTGCTTCAATACTACGGAATACTGCAAACCTTTATCAATCTCATTCAACAACTATATGAAGACACCACATGCCAAGTAATTCACAATGGGAAGCTCAGTGATGCTTTTGAAGTGAAGACAGGAGTGAAACAAGGTTGCCTACTATCCCCCATGATATTCCTGATTGTGATCGACTGGATCATGCAGCAAACAGTGAGGAGCGAGAAGAGGGGGGATACAATGGCTGGACTGCGGAAAAGAACCTAGAAGACTTGGATTTCGCCAGTGATGACTTGTGTCTGATGTCACACAAACTTGAAGATCTACAGGCGAAAACTAACAGGTTGACAGAAGAGGTAAGGCAAGGCAGCGAAGACGGGACTTCAGGTGAATATAGAGAAGACAGAGGTGATGAAGATACCGCACCACCAACGGGAGAAACTTAAAGGAAGTAACCTCCTTCACCTATCTAGGAAGCACTGTTTCAACTACAGGCGGCGTAGACGAGGATGTCAAAGTCAGAATCGGAAAAGCAAGACAGGCGTTCATTAGCCTGAAACCAGTGTGGAGATCTGCACTCAGCATGTGGAACAAGATCCGGATTTTCAACACTGATTCAGTCAAGTCAGTGCTTCTCTGTGACGGTTGACGGTTCCCCATGGGAAACGATAAGTTGGGCGTCCGAGGTGAGGGTGACATGGAGGAGATCGTGCGAGGAAGAAATGAGAGCCTGTGGGCTGTCGTGGAGCCAGGTTGAAAAGATTTCAGAGAACAGAGCGCATTGGAGACGTGCTACTGAAGCCCTATGTTCCATTAGGAACCCAGAGAACTAATATTAATAATTATTAGTCCTCTGGGTTCCTAATGGAACATAGGGCTTCAGTAGCACGTCTCCAATGCGCTCTGTTCTCTGAAATCTTTTCAACCTGGCTCCACGACAGCCCACAAGCTCTCATTTCTTCCTCGCACGATCTCCTCCATGTCACCCTCACCTCGGACGCCCAACTCATCGTTTCCCATGAGGATTCCACTCTAGGGCCTGACACGTCACGTCCTCAGTCGGCCTTCTCAGTGTATGCCCAATCCATCTCCACTTCCTTCTGCATATTTGTTGGGTGATAGGTTCTTGGTTGGTTCGTTCCCAGAGCACCTTGTTGCTTATTCTTTCTGGCAATCCATCTGATCTTCAGTAGCGAGCCAGCGTAAGCAGTTGTTGATGAATGTCTGTAGTTTATTGGAAA